AGCATTGGACGGAGGAATTTCTACATTCCCAGACGTATCGTCGGCATCATAATCTGCATCATTAATGAGTTTTGTCATTCTAATCATCTAGCTAAAACTCTTTAAAGAGACAAGTTAAATCAATACCTTGACGAACTTTCTACCGAATGGCTGTTCTATCACACATGTTCTGGCAAATTTATCTACTTCGGACCTTCTAATTTCTCCCTTGGCAATTCACATCTTTTAACTTGTTTATATTCCCCTCCTCAAGACGTGTCTCATTTTTTGAATAGCTTAGTGTCGCGTCAATGCATCTTCTGTTGACCTTGACCACCCTCCCAATCGTAAGTAAAGCATTGAGATTTCCAATTTACAAATCCACTCCACCAGCCTTTTCAAACAGAATGGACGGTGCATCAACAAAGATCTAATCACTTTTAGTACATAAAAAATGAATTAACAATTAAACGGGTGAGCATTCCCATTTTGATGCACCCCTGATACAAGCTTAAAGTATGATTAATTACGAGTTATGTTAGGGTGTTTTATCTTTAAGTTAGTAAATAGTGTATTATATGTTATACGAAAATTGATATATAATTATCTAATTATATAGTTTTTTTCGACTTCGTTTTTCTTATCATAACTTAACATATATTTTATAAAATATTTCGCTTACGTCTAAAAAATTAAAAAAAATATTTACGCGTATAAAAATAAGATAGAAATTAGTTTGCTTAACAAATGAATGTAAAATTTGCAATATCGCTAGCGCGCTCATTTCTACTCTCCCCTCACTGACGTGATTACCCAGCCACCTTCCCTAATGGCTGCTAAGCGCAAGATTGCTAAAAAGGTTGTTGAGGAACAGATTTCTCTTGGCCCTCAGGTACCTCAAGGGGAGTTTGTATTTGGCGTATGCCACATATATGCTTCTGCGAATGACACTTTTGTCCATGTTACTGATCCTACTGGTGCGGAAACCATCGTTCGCGTTACTGGTGGGATGAAAGCTAAGGCAGATAGAGATGAGTCAACTCCATATGCTGCCATGTTGGCAGCTCAAGATGTTGCAGAACGATGCAAGCAGCTTGGCATCACTGCCCTGCATGTTCGCATACGAGCTATCGGAGGAACTAAGTAAGCACTATGTAAAATTCTTAAATCGCACCGTAGGGCTCGCACACCCAGTCCCGCCGCGCAGTCTGCTCTAAGGACACTTGCTCGTTCCGGTATGAGGATTGGCCGGATTGAAGACGTTACACCTATTCCGACAGATAGTACTCGGCAAAAGGGAGGTCGCCGTGGTCGTCGTCTGTAATTTTCATTAAAATAAAGATTCTACAGTGGGTTTTTAATTTCTTCGTGACTTTATGGTATGTTTTGTTGTCCGTACTTAAAATTACTTACAAGAGTCAGAGTTCAGCCGTTTGTTGCAATTAACTTCTCTTTCATTCTAGCTTCAAATGATAAATTAAAAAATTACTTTGGTCTAGCTATTTACGGTTGCGTTTTGGATATTTACTTTAGCATAGATTTTGTTCATAGTTCATAGAATCTACTTTTTTTCGAAAAATTTCCAACTCGGCTCTATTTCGTCCTGACAACGACGCCCTATATCTCAAGCTTTCTGTCCGTATCTCCTTCTATTGTGTAAGCTTAGCCGAACTTACTTTTCGCATGCTTAAAATAGTGGATTTGTTGACCAAATATGCTTTATGGTGGATGATCATTGAGATCAAGAGCTCCCGTATGTGCTATTACTTTACATATGTTATATTTCGATGGTCACTAAAGCTTAATCGATATAGTGATTCATAAGCTTCCTCTGTTAATTATTAAAAATTAGAACCACTGATTTGGGTTCAATTCTTCGGTTACGATACTCTAATTAGTGGGTGTCGCTATTCTGGTTGTGCATCACTCAGCTTTTGTGGCAGTCGTCCTCTTCCAGTGCTGATCTATATTACGCTACTTGGGTTCTCTAATTTTCTTTTGACGTTATTTCACTCGAT